AACGGTATTCGGCGGTGGCCGCAGAAACGGCGTCGATGTTGCGTTCGAGCGCGCGCGCGCGTGAATTCAATCCTCGTTCCAGAGCGCGCGGAGCGCAAACTTCATTCCAACGGGCATTCTTTTTCGCGGCGAAACGCGAACTACCGCTCTGGCATGCGATACGATTGCTTTTGCAATACCGTTCCCGTAACGCAGGTGCAAGCGACCGACTCGAGTCTAGGTTTTCTGTTTCGCCAACTAAACAGAAATTCGTGCTCGCATTTCCGTCCACCGTTCCGTCCATCCATCCATCCATCCATCCATCCATTCACATCCACTTAATTTCGTCAATTTTCTTTTTTTTATTTTTCTTCATTCCTTCGATCGATTAAAGTCGTCCCCACTCGCCAATTTTTTTACCTTTCTCCCTTCCTACTCCCATCCTTCGAATTTCAACCGCGAGTTAATGACTCTCGCTTGACGAAAATGATAACGATTTCGACTCCTCGGTTGCGTTTCCTCGGGGAGGGGGAGGAGGGGAACGAGCGGAACGGCTCGTGGCGCTGGCTGGCTGCCCTCTCGCCTCAAACGCCGCCCCAATTGCCAGTGTCTGACCCTGTAATTAGGTTTGCGCTGCTGCTAATACTGTTAACCGGTAAACGTGCAATTTCCCCGCTAGTCTCCCCGTTTCCCATCAACCTCCCCACTCCGCCTATATTTCTAAACCGCAAAAAAAACGCACGCGCGACCAGATACATCCCTCCCCCTCCCCCGAAAAAATGGAATGGAATTTTGAGAGAAAGAACGAAAGAAAGGAAATTTCGTAACGTAAGAACGATTTATCAGTCGTCGATGGACGAATTGCACGACGTTATTGACGCGATATCTTTTTTTTGACCAATGACGATTTTTCGCAGTGGCGTCGCCGTGTCCTGCGGGGAATGCAGCAGCAGCGGTACCAGCGACATCACGGAGCCCGGTTCCCCGTGCAGCACGAGCAGCGACGAGGGGGTAGCGGCTATAAGGGGCGCGTCCGCTAGTCCACTGCCGTCCCTACCCAAGCTGGCGCCCTCCTCGCAGATCAGCACCAGGCCCCAGTGGCCCTGGACCCCGCCCCTCGCTGCCACCGCGTGCTCCACCTACAAGAGGCTGAAGGGCGAGCCCGAGGCTGGCGCCCTGCCGAGGTCCGGGGCCGCGGATCCCGGGTTCAGGGGAAGCGGAAAATCGGCCGGCAAACCGAACAACGCCGCCGGCCATCATCATCATCATCATCACGAGTCCCAGGGCAAGATCACCGAGTACTTCAAAACGCAGATCAAACCCCAGCAACCCAAGGTGACTTTCCAACCTTTTTTTTAATTCGAATTTATCGAATTTATTTTCCCCCTTCGATTTTTTCCACTAACGATCGATGCTATTTTTTTTTTTTTTTTTTTCTTGTTTTTTTGCTTCTCGATCGAAAGATCAAGAAGAACAGCGAGACGATGTCGGTGCTGGTCGCCAAGAGTTCGTCGGAATCTCGAAGGCCAGCTGCCACGGTGCAGAGGAACAAGGCCGGTTTGGCCAAGTACCTGGGCGCCGTGTCGCCGAGCGGACGGGCCGCGTCGGGCAACGATTGGGAAGTGAGAAACCTCGCCATGGCCCCGCCGCCCACCAAGAAGCCCCCGTTGGTCGTTGTTCCCAGGGCCGACGGTAAGATGGAGAAGAAGCTGCCCAAGCCGATGCCCAGCCTGCCCATCTCGAACGAAGTGCTGAAGAACATCCCCGGCTGCAAGATCTCGTCGCTCAGGTAAGGTCGAATCTTGGCTCTGAGTGGATGGAATCCATCTTTATTCCTCCTTATTCTCAGGTTGACCTCGGAGGCGAGCTCGAACGC